CAATGCCAAGGATATCGCAGCATCAACAGTCCTAGGCTTGTGCAAAACAATAGCAGAACGTATCTCTTTCTTTAGGCCTTTAACAAACTTTGCTACAAAAAAAGTTTCATCCAGTGCAGGATTGTGAGTAAGTAATTGATGCATGAGCTGCTCAAATTCTTGCTGGTAACTATCAACATCAGTAAGCTGCTTAATGTCGAGTGTCTGACTCATTTGGCTGTTGAGCAACCATGGCAACTGCAGTTGTCCGACATGGCAACTGAAATCTGCAGATTATTCAAGCAGGCGTGAAGTCACAATCTCCATCTAGCATCACCAGAGCGTCATGCCTTGCTCGAATAAGGGAGGAAGAGATCTTGAAGGATGAGGCAATGGGCACCGAGGAGCATGGCGATGGCTACGACCATAGAGTACACGGTCGCATGCCTACCGAGGCCCTCAACACTGTCTCCCATGAGCTAACTACCCCAGTGACGTGCAGTGCATAGCCAACAGTTTTGCTGCTCTGACACCGACCATGGTGCTCGACACATAGACCACAACACCGACAACATCGAGCCGTGGCCAACTCAAGGCCAGCAGGTTCCACCGCCACTCGTCAGTCTGTCACTGCGGGCGACCACGTCAACCCCGTTCGTATGCCTCGTCAACGACGGACCACCCCTGCTCACCACCCAGCCGCCCCTACAGGCATGTTTTTGGCAGTTGCAACACCAGCAAAGACTATGCCGGTCTCTGAGCTGGAGACACGGACGCCCAAAGGTGTTCGACGGAATGCACCGGTGACGATGCCAACAAGGTGACACATGTGGTCACGCTGGGTGCATCTACCTCAACCACCGCACGGCTCAGCAACATCCACTCCGTCCCTTCAACACTTTTGGTGCATGTGGATGCCGATGAGGTCACTACAGATCATCTTCATTATGAGAAGCCGCAACATGTTGATATTAATTCCGAAGCTTGGCTGCAACTCAACGGAGAGGGCGCTGCGTGCCTGCACCCCAACACCATGCTTTCACTACTGTTTTTCGGCGACCACCAAGGCATCACCCCACCAAAACCACCATGGCCTCCCCTGGTGCAAGAACAGATTTAGGGCAATGGTGCCATGCCGCCATCGTGGCCACCATATTCACAAGTGGAGCTCTCTGACATGGGAGTTGGCCAGCCGCCGTGGCCGCCACCACAAACATGTACTTTGTTGTTGTTGTCAGGAAACGATTTCTGTTCTGGGGAGAGTGGTCTAAAAGAGTTTAATGAACAAACTGATGGCAAACCATGGGATCCTGGAATTCCACAATTTATTCCTCTAACTTGCCTTTTCATCGGAAGACAGTGTGAGTGTGCTAGTTCAATGGAGACTCGTGGTTTGATGGGCAGTTTCGGTGAGCTGACTTGCACGTACAAGAGGGCACATTTTTCGAAAGGCAATGGGACGCTGTTATTGTACAGTTTATCCTTGGAACTTGGGTATCATCTATTGGCAACGTCTTGCACATAAGCATGCTCTTCTTTGCAGATTATTGTGGCCTGGGCTGTCATATCCAACGTGATTATTGGGGACACATGATCGTGATGCTACCATCTTATCTATGCTGGTTTCCAAAGTGTTGCCCCTATAAAATACAGCAAGCTGAGAATTACATGATGCTTTGTCTGAAAAATATTGCTTGAGGCTTGCTAGAATTATACTCCCTCTGTCCCAAAATATAAAAACGTTTTTAACACTACACTAGTGTAAAAAACGTTCTTATATTATGGGACGGAGGGAGTACTTCTCTACTGCGGGGCCACCTGATTATTCTGTACATGTCGCTTCTACAGCAGGTATGATCTGCATGCAATCACAATTTGTGGCGCCAACATTAAAGTTTTCTCAAGGAGGTTCAGCTGGCCACTTGCCCTTTCAGTTCCTTGTAGTTCTCCAGACCAGCAGAATTGAGACATGTTTCCCTGGGATCAAATGCTCATTGTTTCTGTGGTGGTTCCGGTTTGATACAAGATCAATTCGGGAGCGGATACCTCGTATCACAATGTATAAGCAGATGCCTATGCAAGTGTTGATGTTCATAGGATGGCTCAATTATGATAGGAATCGTCCACCTCAAGGCATCACAGGAACTGCAGTCAGGTTGTTGCAACATCTCCAACCTACAAACCAGCTGCTTGGTTCTTTCTGGTCATGGCCACAAGCAAAAGAAAGGGTACACCACCACACAAGTTATGGGCGTGAGTGTTTTTGCTGTCTTTTAGTAATAATTTGCTCTAGGGATCTGGTCAATGGAGAGTCAAATCTTGCACTTGCCTGCTTGCTGTCAAGGACACTAGTTGGTTCAGATGTATCATGTGTGTCGACAAGATGTTCCACTCTTCAATAGCAGCTCCTTTTGGCAATGAAGTCAAGTTTCGTTCCTCCGATCTGACCATTTACAAGCACATGATACTACCCTATGACCCCGGAGGGTTGGCTCTTTGGCTGCATGAGATTGGAGATACTCATGTATCCAGCTTGATCATCATCGGCTTGAGGGCAAGCCGAATTTCAAGGGGTGGAGAGTGTAACACCCCCAGTATGGGCTGTCACTGTATGTTTGTAACATGGGCCTGGGCTACGAGATGGGCTGGTCATTGAAAGCTAGGTCACGCATAACACGAGCTACATATGCAACCCAAGGATCACAGGAAGGGGCAACGAATGAATGAATCGTATTCAACCTTCTTGTCCTCTTCTTTCGTTCCTCTCCCCCGGCTGCTACTGTATCTCATCTCCTATTTGCTGATTTCTCATCCCAAATTCCCTTGTATCCTCTGAATCTATATCAAATATGGGTGTTGATTTATCTATCTGTTCGATCCCTGTACTGGGGTCGTGACACGAGATGACCGCCACCCCTCTGATCTCCTTGGCCAGAGTAAATTACACGATAGTACCACAATTGGGGCGGTGGTGGCGAATTGATACCAGTTTTGAAATTTTTTACGTGTCAGTACCATGTTTGGACCGAACCGTTGCAAATCGGGCTAAACTCCGTATTTGTACATATTGACGCTGGAACTGACCGCCCGGACCCGCGCGTCAGATGCCACGCTGGCGAATCGGCACGCGCCCGCTCGCTCGATAGGTGTGGTCCGGCTCGAACCGTACCGGCCCGTGCTCCACTCTGTTCGTCCTCGTTCCTGCCTCCCTCCTCGCTCCTCTCTCGTCGCCCTCGTCACCGCCGGCAGATTTGCCGGAGCGGAGCGCCGCTGCCCGCCATGGTTTTCGAAGATGAAAGCAGTGAGGACACGTCCAGCCTGCCGTACATGCACTCGACCTCATCCACGGACGGGCTTAACCAGGTGATTTTCCTTGAGCTAGGTCTAGGGTTAGGGTTTCATATTTGGGGCTTTTTGATTTGGTTGATTTTGCTGGGTTTTGATTGTACGAGCTTCGGCAGGTCCCTTTCAGCATTGAAGATCCAGATTACCAGGGGCTTGAGCTGGAAACGATGTCGCCATGTGAGAAGCACGGCAAGGCATCTGAGAGGCTTGTCGCATTTGAAGGAACAGACACAAGGAGAAGGTTCCTAGCATGTGCAGAGCCGGTACGAATTCTATGCTGATAGTGGGATATTATATATAGGGTGATAGTGTCATATTATTGTTGGTTTGACAGTGCCATATTGAACATGAGTGAACATGAGTACAAGGCCTGAATATTAAGGGCATATTCACTTTTGCAACAGCAGTAGCTTGTGTAGTTTAATGACAGTGGTACTGTTATTTTGCAGTGGCATTGTTCTTGCTATCATGTGAAATAATCAGTTTGGGGTTTCTACAAGTTTAATGTTGCTGTTGTGGCATTTTTATGTAGTTGAATGGAGTACCCAGTTGAATGACAGTGCTACTGTTAATTATGCTCCTGTTACTTTTGCTCCTATTTGGAACTAAATATTGAGTGAACTGTAACTTTTATGTTGGGATGGACCTGCTGTTATGTATCTAAATGCTTGAAATATTCAGTTGAATGGATAGTATGTACTGCATATGCTTTGGCAGTTCACCCAGTTTGCAGTTTGAGATTGCTCTTGTTTTGTAGCTGATTAGCAAAATCTAGTTCAAATTTGTAGCTGAGTGGTGCTGTAATTTGTCATGCTGTTATTTAGTGGGTAGGTACATCTCAATTCCTAGTGTAGCTTAGTGGTGCTATTATTACCAATGTATAGTGTTGTTGATTTGCACTAGTTATTTACCTATGCTTCTGAAGTAACATGTTTATTTTTTTTATCTTTTTGCCTTTCTGCAGGAAGGGCAGAATTGTGGGTTTGTTGAATGGGTTGATCACCAGTGGCCCCCAACAATGCAAAATGCATTGTTGAAGCTGTGGGCCATGGTTGAAGTTAGCAAGAGTGCTAGGGTGAATGATAATCTTGAAAGTTCTTTCACTATCCACCATCTGACAGAAGAGAAGAACAAGCTGGAGGCCAACTATGACAAGTTAGTCCAAGATGTGCATGAGCTTATGACCTTCCAGGAGGACAGGGTGGTGGATTTTAGATATCTGCAGGATAACCTTACATATCAGCAGCAATGCAGAAGTGAACTGGTGGCTGATCTGAAGGCACAGATGGCAAAGAAAGATGCAGAGTTTGAGAAGCTTAAGCAGAATTATGAAGTGCTACTGAACATGACAAGAGCACAAGAAATAGTCATCCAGAACTTGAAGTTGAAGCATATTACAGATAAGCAATTGCTTAGTGAAGATAAGATGAACTTGGAGTTGAAGAATGCAGAGCTCAGAAAGTCTGAGGAGAAGCTCACCCAAGAGAAGCTAGAGTTGAAGTTTCAGGTTGCTGATTTGCTTAAGGGAAAGGAAAAGCATGGTGAAGAGAAGGGGCAGCTAGAGCTTCAGATTGCTGAGCTGATGAAGGAAGAGGAGAAGCTGAAGGAGAAGATCAAGGGGATCCCGGCCATCTTAGAGAAGTGAAGAAAATGAATATGAGACTAGTGGGTAATGCTGGCCTTTTGGGCATGATGGTTGTGTAGTGTATGGCTCTACTAATTGTGAACTATGTATGTGTATGTATGTAGTAGATATGCTTTTCATCCTTTTGTGAGAAAAGGATGAACTATGCATTTAAACTCCAACTCCACTATGTATTTGTGATGGACCTGCTGTGTACCCTATAATATGTTGAACTCCAGTAAGTATTGTGTGTTATGTTGGCTACACTTGAAATGATGATATATCATGCATTGGAAGATGGATCAGATATTCTGTGCCATGAGATGTAGACTAAAAGTTATGATTTCTCTTGCAATAGGTTTTATATTTTTATATTAGATGATTATGTTAGCACTGGAATATTAGATGGTTATGTTATATCACTAATGGTTAGATTAAGGTGGTTAGATTAAGGTGGTTCCGTCGACCCCTAGCCACCATAAACCCTAATGGTTAGATTAAGGTGGTTCCGTCGACCCTGAGGCACCGTAAACCCTAATGGTTAGATTAAGGTGGTTCCGTCGACCCCGAGGCACCGTAAACCATCATGGTTAGGTTAAGGTGGTTCCGTCGACCTCGAGCCACCGTAAACC